AAAATTCCAAAGCAAAAATACATGAACAGTAACACATATTGCATTCTGTTTTCCTGATGATGTGAACCTCATCACAATTTTCTTCTTCAGCAAATGAAAAAGCTATTATATCTATGTGGCTTTTATAGTAATTATTTTCAAAGTGGGTAGTTTTAATCTCCAGGTAAAGTTTTTTATGCCTGTTGAGTATATATACTATGAGTCATTACTGTGTTTTAAAATTATAAAAATGGTACTGATTTGATATGGAAAAACTTACTTTGTTCAATTTGCATAGGTTAGAAGTATATAGCCTGAACTTTTTAATGAAAATAATTTTGTAATTTATTTCATAACCTAATTGCTTGTATCCCCAAATGTCTAGTATTGTCACATGCATATTTTGAGGAGAAAACACAGTAAAGGTGGGGAAACTGGCCTTCCAAACAGTAATAAACTATAGTTCCCATATTCCTTTTCATTTGGCCCTAATTAATGAGGCTGCTGGAATTTGTAGTTTGAAAGCACTTGGAAAGCCACATGCTGTTGATTATGGTGCTATTGGGGCTAACATCTCACCCTGGATTTAATGGATTTTCCCAGGGACAACTCCTCAAAGGAGTGGGGGGAAACAGAGACCCTGATCTGAGTTTGATTTGAAGCCAAAGTCTAAAACAAATTATGCTTTTCTACTATTTGCTTGTCTTTTTATGGCCAATATTAAGAGGTCTGCAATGTTGTTTCTAAACTTGATCCCAGATAACATCTCTACAATTGCTATATGCAAGGAAGCATTTCCCCCTATTCATAGTATTAATCATCCACAGATCAACTTTTTTAAATAGTTTTTTATCAAAGGGTCTTAAAAGTTAATATCCCTGGCAGTATTTATATCTTATTCAATAGATCATGTAAGTTAATTATATTCTTGCTCTGGAAGCTATTTTCAATTCAATTCAATTTCAATTCAATTTACTTTATTTGTATGCCGCCCTTTTCCCTGAAGGGACTCAGGGCGGCTCACAGTTCAAGGGAGGGGAAAAAACAGACAAAGTTACAAAACATAAAGACCATACACAGTTAAAAAGCACAGCAATCATACCATTCGAGTGGGGCAGCAAGTCTTTAGCCCCAGGCCTGTCGGAACAGCCAAGTTTTAAGGGCTATGCGGAAGGCCTGGAGGGTGGTGAGGGTACGAATCTCCATGGGGAGTTCGTTCCAGAGGGTTGGAGCAGCCACAGAGAAGGCTCTCCTCCAGGTAGTCGCCAGTTGACACTGGCCGGCTGATGGAATTCGGAGGAGGCCTAGTCTATGGGATCTTACTGGTCTAGTGGAGGTAATTGGCAGTAGGCGGTCTCTCAAGTACCCAGATCCAATACCATGAAGGGCTTTGTAGGTGACAACTAGCACCTTGAAGCGCACCCGGAGATCAACAGGTAGCCAGTGCAGCTCGCGGAGGATAGGTGTTACGTGGGTGAATCGAGGCGTACCCACGATCACTTGTGCGGCTGCATTCTGGACAAGCTGAAGTCGCCGAATACTCTTCAAGGGCAGCCCCATGTAGAGCACGTTGCAGTATTCCAGCCTAGAGGTCACAAGGGCACGAGTGACTGTTGTGAGAGCCTCCCGGTTCAGGTAGGGACGCAACTGGTGCACCAGGCGAACCTGGGCAAATGCCCCTCTGGTCACAGCTGACAAATGGTGTTCGAAAGTCAGCTGTGGGTCCAGGAGGACTCCCAAGTTGCGGACCCTATCTGAGGGGCGTACTATTTGACCCCCCAGCCTGAGAGATGGAACACTTGGCCAATTGGTAGGAGGGAAGCACAGCAGCCACTCGGTCTTATCTGGATTGAGTACAAGCTTGTTAACCCCCATCCAGTCCCTAACAGCCTCAAGGCCCTGGCTCATCACGTCCATCGCTTCATTGAGTTGGCACGGGGCGGACAGATACAGCTGTGTATCGTCCGCATACTGATGGTATTTTATCCCGTGCCGTCGAATGATCTCACCCAGCAGTTTCATGTAGATATTAAAGAGAAGGGGGGACAGGACCGAACCCTGCGGCACCCCATATGTTAGGGGCCTGGGGGTCGATCTCTGCCCTCCGACTAACACCGACTGCAACCTGTCCGAGAGGTAAGAGGAGAACCACCGTAAGACAGTGCCTCCCACCCCCACCTCCCGCAGTCGTCGCAGAAGGATACCATGGTCGATGGTATCGAAAGCTGCAGAGAGGTCAAGGAGTACCAGGATGGAGGCATGGCCTCCATCCCTGGCTCTCCAGAGATCATCGGTCAATGCGACCAAAGCGGTTTCCATGCTGTAGCCAGACCTGAAGCCCGACTGGAATGGATCTAGATAACTGGTTTCCTCCAAGGACCGCTGGAGCTGAAAGGCCACCACCTTCTCAACAACCTTCCCCACAAAGGGGAGGTTGGAGACTGGACGATAGTTGTTTAGGACGGCTGGATCCAAAGATGATTTCTTCAGGAGGGGTCTCACCACCGCCGCCTTTAATGTGGGGGGAAAGACCCCCTCCCAAAGGGAGGCGGTAACAACTGCCTGGATCCAGCCCCGTGTCACCTCCCTGCTGTTAACAACCAGCCAGGAGGGGCACGGGTCCAGTACACAAGTGGAGGCACCTACAGCTCTCATGGCCTTGTCCACGTCCTCAGGGGTAACAGCCTGAAAATCAATCCAGTGATGTCCTACCAGATTATCCCTTGGTGCCTCAGCTGGTTCTGCGGGATTGGAGTCCAGGTCCGCCCGAAACCGAGCAACTTTATCCGTGAGGAATCAATTTTGACATTGATGTTATAAAAATACTATTTTATTAATTGGATGTCACTGGTTGTCAGCATTACAATAACATTGCAATAATGTTGCAATTATTTATCAAATTCTCCAAAGTTAGCCTTTTTCTTTTTTTTTCCAACCCAGCTTTTGTTGGCACATTGTTAGGAATAAAATCCAGCATTTGCCTCCATTTGAACATTGTTCATTTCAGCCTCTTTCCCTATTAATTTGGCACACCATTTACTACAAGCAGAGAGATGAGCGTGGAAGTCCATAGTTAGTCATCCTTGGCAACAAGGGTATTTTGAAACCAGGAATATTTCTTGTCCACACGCTATGAATCACACCCTGTTCATTCCATTGATCATTTTCCCCATTTTCAGAGTTGACCCCAGAAGAAAAAGCACAGAAGATTGCTAAAGCTATGCGCAAACAGTCTGCGGAAGTGAAGGAGAAGTGGGAAAGCCTGAATACCTGTGCCAGTGGTTGGCAAAAACAGATAGACCAAGCCCTGGAGAAACTGAAGGATCTGCAGTGTTCCATGGATGATCTGGATGCAGACTTGAGAGAGGCAGAGAACGTGCGAAATGGTTGGAAACCTGTTGGTGACAGGCTGATAGCCTCATTGAAGGATGAAGTTGATAAGACAACTGTAAGATCCCAGTAGTCATTTAAGTGCATTGCCAGCTGATGATTAATGATGTTTAGATTTTGGCTATGGAAACTCTACAGTGGTACTCATAATCCAGTGACCAGTTGGATCCAGAATAGAAAACTCTCAGTGAAATAGCTGTATTATTCCTGCTTCATACTTTTCCATTGGGAATGTGTAACATTTCATTAAAATTATTTCGACAGCAGTAAAATGACAACAGGAGGCACAGGTTTGTAGTAATGTATATAATGAGAGCGACATAGCTAGAGGGAAATTGAGAAAGCTCCATGGAACTCAGAAACTCTCTCTGTATCCCCTTAATATTAGGCACCCTAACCATAAGGGTTAATTCATTAAATGCTATTGTCAAGCTGGACAGAAGAGATTAAAATATCCCTTCACAACTAACACATCTGTAGCATACCCATCTGTATGGTGGATAGGTGGAGGTGACAGGGGACCTGTCACCTCCACCTATCCACCATACAGATGGGTATGCTACAGATGTGTTAGTTGTGAAGGGATATTTTAATTATGTAGTGAGGTGATATTTTAATTATTTAGCCCTTTTCTAAGATTGCATTGTTTTAATCGGATGGCTGAAATTCCTCTTCAAATATATTTTCCACTCTGTTTTTAGAGGAGAAAAGGGTTGACTGTAAGTGACGTTAAGTGACTGTAAGCCAGAATATTCACACAATTATCTGCCTATGAAACAAAATGAACCTATTCCCTTTAAATTCCTTTGAATTCTCAGGATTTTCTAGCATAAGCTATTCTGCTACAAGTCTAGGAATTCAAGATTATACCAACTAATAGTAGAACACCTAAGAATTTATGTTATTCTGAGGTCAATTTATGTTATTCTGAGCATTTTAGCATTGAACTTAGAAGCCGTTTGCCAGTATGTCCATGGATTGTCTAGAAAATGACAAATAAGACTATTTATGAGTAATGGAAAATTATACATAAATACACAACACTCTGCCTGAGGTTTGTTCTTGATTTCAAAAAAAGATTAAGCTAAATTTGATGAAACACAATTTCTTTTGCCTTAGAAGTAAATCAAAGCAGATTTAAATATGTTGATTTAAGCATAAAATATCCATCTTTCCTTTTTTCATTTGAATAAAAACATAAAAGAATGCTTTTGCATACTAGTGGGAATATTTCATTTTTTCCCCTTTTTGCCAGCAAGAGATAATTGTTCATATCTTAATGATATTTGCATAAAGAACTGTGAAGGGAAATTTTATTATGTTTACTATTTGTTCAAATAGTATCATCTGTTGAGGATTATTTCATCTATTAACAACATCAACATTGATGTTGAAAATGATGTACTAGTAATTCTTGGGGAAAACAGCATGAAGTTGGAAAATTGTTATCCATTTTGTAGAATTATCTGGTTTTCAGCAGATTTCATTTTCATGTTTTATTGATGCAATATAAAGGTATTGAAACTAAATTAAGAAGTACTAACACTTGTTATTGAATTTGAAAATGTATTTATTAAGTAGCTTTTCTTTTCTTTCTCATTTCTACTATTTATTTAATAGCTTTTTGTTTCCTGGTAAACCTTGGCAATATAATACATTACTAGCAAATGCACTGCTTTTTTATACTCACAGTAGTAATATGTATTTAAGGAAAGTCAGGAAAGATAGTGAAAGAATGAAAGTGAAGGACACTTACATACATCATTTAGAGATTGAGCTTTGCTCTTCAAGATTTTTTACTAAAAGCAGCTGTGTATTCTCTCTTCTAGGCCTTTAGAGAAGAAATTTTGCCAATCAGTTTGAAAATCAAATGCATCAATGATTTATCCAGTCAGCTCTCTCCACTTGAACTTCATCCATCCTTGAAAGTCTCACGACAACTGGATGATCTGAACATGCGGTGGAAACTTCTACAGGTAGCTTTCATTGGTTTAAGAGTTAGGGAGAACCATGAATCTGTCACTGATTCCACATTATCCTTGAAATCAGGGAGAAAATCCTCTGACAATCTTGATAAACGACCAGAAATTACAACATAATTTTCTCAGATTATATCTGCTAAATTGAATCTTCATTGAATTTCAAAATGATTCAACATATTATTTGGATAGACAGTAAGGAATATTAGCTTGATGGAAATACACAGATTCTGTTGTCAGGACATAAGGACTAAATAATAAGTCTAGAATGTCCAGACAATGTTTAGAAGAAGTTTAGACAGATATTTCCTTCATTCACTGAACTTTAAAAAAGGAGGAGTAGAAGGAACACCAAAATCAAACTTTTCTAATCTGCTGTTATAACCTATCTCAATAATATAGTTTTAGCCTCCTTTGAAATTGATTTCATAGTCTGATTTACCTGGTCTACTGACACATTCTTTAATATCTCAATTTCCCCCCAGAACAACCATTCTGTCAGGTGGTTGGGCTGAGAGAAAGTCAGTGACCCAAAGTGACCCAATAAGCTTCTGTGGCTAAGGGTGAACTTGAACCTGAGCTCCTAGCATCTTAAGTACTACATGACACTGTTTCTGAAATATTGTGTTACTATTATGCTAATGCTTCATTAAAGTAGCCTTTAAAGCCATTTTGGCAGACTGTTAGATGCCATGTAAAATATTTTGGGTTTCATTAGATCTCACAGGAGCTCTATAGTTAGAAAAGAACTGATAGAGCTGTTTACAAAGAATTATGATGATGCCCCTTGTTCTGAGGCGTTTCTAAAACATATTTTTCTTCCATTTAAATTTAATTTGAAGCACTAGAAAGACTTGTTATGCCTTACAAAGATTTGGCTGAGTAGTTTTGTATATGTTCATCCAGCTTAATTATCAAACCAGGAGAATGTTGACCCATAAGGTCAATCAGTAAACAGCATGTTCCAGTATGGTTCCTTGTAAAAATCAATAAAATAAAAATAAGGCATGTTGACTGTAGATATTTAGACAAGGGAAGAAGTGAACATTTCAGTAGACAGCAATAGGCACTAAGAAGGCCTTTATTTGATATTGATTTGCATTGCTTACAGAGGAATCATTACTAGCTTCTATTTAAACATTATAAATAGAGAAGCAGATTTAAGAGGAGATAATATTTTCTCTTTAAATCTATTGTAAATCATTATTTGGCTATATGCAGTTGGCTTGGTATGATCAGTTGAAAGCTTACTACTTGCTTTTCCTTGTTTGTATTTTTACATGCAGATATCGATAGATGATCGTATTAAACTACTACAAGAAATACACCATGATTATGGACCTGAATCTCAAGATTTTCTTTCCTGTAAGTGTTAATGAAATGGTTTAATGAGGACTCTAATAGTAGAGCAATGAAGTACTTCAAAGGTTCTTAATTTTTTTTCATCCCAAATAACTGGCATTGAGGAAAATATAGAACAAAATGATTGTCACGTATGGAAGATCCTTTCAGAGAAATCTTCAGAAAGACAATTCTCAGAGAATGACACTTTAGAATTACAATTAAATTGTACTTCACCAATGTCAGGAGCAGGATTGCAAGTGCTTGATAGGAAACAAAATATGATATAGAGTTAATATATGATTTTGGACATAATACTAAATCTTGATTAAAAACCACAGTGAAAGAAGGAGTTCATCTTATTATCATAGGGTGACTTTTTAAGAGTTTTACAAAATGTTAATGGTTTTGTCCTCAAGTAACTGAAACAATTATGGGAATTGGGGGAATTCAAGAAATAGAAAGATATATTTTTAAAATTGAATCAATGTATGCACTCACAAGTTCGCAAACAAAGAATCCAAAAAAAGGAAAAGGAAAGTTCCCAAATCAAAGGGTGGGTGATCACCTTGTATACTGGGTCTATTCATTAAGTGGACTGGATTGGACCAAGTTATTTTCCAAATAAGTGGTTTTTCATTAAAAATTGTTTTAAACTATGATCATTTGAAATGCGTATTCAAAGGAGAGTTTGCTCCCCGAGTTTGGAATATTTCTTCTCATTTCCTACATTCAGCATCTTTATACATATGACTATTTGTAAATAATACATTATCAATTTCTTGATTTATTTATTTTCTTTCTTTTAAATTTTTATAGCCTCTGTACAACTACCATGGCAGAGATCAGTGTCTCATAACACTGTCCCATACTACATTAAGTAAGTTGGTATCTTGTAGTAATTATATTACAATAAAATGCATGGACTTTTTAAAAACACCATTAAGTTTCAGGTATCCTTCTTTATATTGGGAGGTCATGTAATTAGACAAGACAGGAATGCTTTGGGTAGAGGTATCTATCCATATAAATAAAAGAAATGGAGTAGAGTTGCACTCCTCCCAAAAATATCTATCTGGACTCCTTGCTGTCTGTGGAAACAAAGGGCTGCAAGCAGTAGCCAAGAATATCTTTTGTTACCTTTGGCTTGGAATGTTCTGAAATCTGAACCCATTTAGGGAAAGTTATAACCAGCCTGGTCCACTATACGTGTGCTGCTGCTGACATTACTCCTGAAAACTTTAGTTTACATGAATTGTAGCCTCTTGAATCTTTGTTATGTCTGTAAAACAAGCTAATAGTATCTTTGCATAGTTTGTACTAATTAGCAATGTGTGTTCTGGATATGTGATGATGACAGTGATGATGTAGGTTATTACTGTCATCATGTTTAATAGAATCTTATCAAATACCAGGTAGAACACTTATGGAATTGCTCTCAAGAGATGTAGGTTTTATTTCACCTATGCCTGCTTTCTCAGTTCCTGCTTTGTCTGCTTTCCTCAGCTCAAGAGCCAGGTTATCCGGTTCTTAGAGGCCTTTTACAGCAGCTGCAGCTGCTTAATTCCAGGTCTGCCCATTATGTATCTCTCTTCATCCATAACCTAATTGTGATTAGAGGGCACATTAGCAAACCCGTTTGAGAAATAGGAGAGTGTCCCCTTTTTACAATGTGCCCTTCTGAGTTTTGGGTAAGATTCTAGCTGAGTGAGTTCAAGGCCAGGGAGGAAGAATGACAGTTCTCATTTGCAAGACTCTACAAGTGACCAGAGATAGATAAGGTAGATAACCAGATGTGAGGCATTATTCTTGAAGTTTGGTACAAGTAGGTGTTGCCTTTGTTGCATGCTAGCACCCCTCTCTCATCACCAGGATGGTATTGAAGCTTCCCAGGTAGATGTTTCTATGTTCCTTCTCTGGAAGTGGATGCTATAGTCAGTGGCATATTAACTATTAAGCAGACTAAGCACATGCTTAGGGTGCAAGGTCCAAAGTGGGCACCACAAAGTTGAGAAAGAAAAAAAAACAATGAAGATTTGTACAGTATGTACAAAGGAGGGACACCAAGATTTGTCAGTGCTTAGGGCACCAGTGAGCCTTAATCCACCACCAGTTATAATTCATGGTCACCATGTCAACCCTGGACATTTTTTAGATCATTGTGGCTCCAGCTGATAGAAGCTAACACATTAGACCTGGATTTCTCTTGGACCAATTTGTGGGAGGAGGACTCTAAGTCTCTTCCATTAGGAATTGTCATCTTTGGAAGCCAGAGATCAACCTTCTCAGTCTTCCTTTTATTTTCTAAAAAACAGGTTATGTCCTGCCCTGTTAGGCCTTAGGATAACTTTTAAAGCATGATTTTGAAGAGAGCTTTGGTTTGGGAATGGAATGGCTGTGACTAATGAGGTCCTTCGAGAGCTTCTTTTTGGATGCTTGATTGTTCCTGGGTGCCAATGTTTTTGCATTTGGTCATGCTGTTCATTTTGATTTTTTAACCTTATTAGTGTGAGAAGGGAATATAAATAGGTCAGAGTCCTTTCGGATTAGGACAGTGTATCAGTTTAAGCAAACAGTTAACAATGGCTTTAAACTGACGGCTTTAATGATACTTGCTGCTGTTAGGCATTACAAAACTGTATTTCATTGTCAACTGGCTGATTGAAAATTTTCATATTTAATGTGATTTAATGAATATTTGATATTGAATTGTTTTTCTTTCCTTGCTTGCTGGTTGGCTTGATTTTTTATTCTGTTTCTCTACTCAAATGAGTACTCCAGCCAGCAAAGATGTAGTGAGCGATTACTATATAATGTTGTGTGCTATCATGGGGGACTATAATTGTTGCTAAATATTTTTTTAAAGTAGAAATATTGCCATAATTAATCTCAGTAATTGAATTTGTCTACTGCTTTGTTAAGCTTTATTTTCTAATCAACGCTGGTAGTTGCAGTGAATAGAACAACACTTCTACAGGGGTTTATATCCTGTCTGATGGTATCAGAAATTCTATTAAGTTAATGATACTGCTTTTACATTAAATTAAAAAGGTGTTTAAGAAACTTGTGGAAACGATAACTGAAGTTAAATTTTTAGGTTAAAGAGAATGTTTTACTACTTCTAAACTTGGTGTCGAACACAATTTGAGTTGTTTGTATTTTCTTTTCAGAAAGTGATTTGGAACTGAGTTTTGGCATCCTGTTTTAAGAGTGCATGGGAAGAGACTCAGGCCTAAAGACACCTCGGTGTTACTTTCTCCCTTGCTTTTATATTGCCTTACTTGTTCAAAAATAGTCAACCATCCATTGAATACGATTTTAATTCCTGTCAATAGATTGAATTTTCCTGACATCCCAGGAGCTGGACTACAAACAACCTTGTTCAGCACACAATCAAATATCCCAAGCCATCATACTGGCCAGATCAATAAATGTCAGATAATTTATCCCAGAAGCACAATATGGTATAGACAGAATTGTATTTGAACTGGAAAAAGAAAAAAAAAAGGCAGGCATTCTATCAAAGCACAAGATTAATTTTCTCCTTAGCTTATCAATTAAAGCCCCATATAAACTCCCAAGGCCTCTAAATCAAGAGAAGCTTCTCCATTTCAAGATTTAACAGGATTTACTCTTAACTTGGGCATCCTTAATTATGGCCCTGGGCTTACTCTGTTGAATGGATTGGTAGAGTCCATAGAATGCCATTGATTAAATTGAAGAATTCCTAAATGGCAGATTAACTAAGAACATGGATTTAGCTGTTTCATTTTTTCTGGTTGTAACAGACTAAGATGCTTTCAAAAAAGAATAAAATAGGTGCTCTACAATTTTTAACTCTGTACATTTTTTGAGAGTGTAAGAAATAGTATTGCTAAAGCTAGCTATGGATTAAGTGGGATGGTATCATACTTTACAAGCATTCTTCAAAAGAAATCATTCTTACTTGTTTCTTGGCCCTTCCCTGTAACAGCCATTTATGCATAGACAAGAGAAATCAATTTTGACATAAGATTTACATTATTATATATTCTCTATTGGTGGATAGGCCAGTGAGACAATCAGCAGCAGGGGCAGAAAGTTCCTTTCATGGTTGCAGGGATTTATCAGCTCACAAGTATAATTGGCAACAATAATGAAAACACTTCAGTTCCCCAGTCTTTTCCTCCCAAATGCAGAGATTGACTACAAGCTATTTTTTTAAAAGTTTCTGGAGAGACAAAGGCATCAAAAGCCTTGCATCTTGCTGGTCCTCTATTATTTCTGTAGCCCTTATAGCAATAGCACTTAGACTTATATACTGCTTCATAGTCCTTTACACCCCTCTCTAAGCAGTTTACAGAGTCAACATATTGCCCCCAACAATTTGGGTCTTCATTTTACCCACCTCGGGATGGAAGGCTGAATCAACCTGGTGAGATTTGAACGGCCAAATTGCAGTCAGCTCGCAGTCGGCANGCAGTCCAGTCTCTTCTTGAAAGCCTCCAGTGATGGAGCTCCCACAACTTCCAAAGGCAACTTCTGTTCCATTGGTTGGTTGTTCTCACTGTCAGAAAATTTCTCCTTATTTCCAGGTTGAATCTCTCCTTGGTCAGTTTCCATCCATTATTCCTTGCCTGGCCTTCCAAGGTGCCTTGGTTCACGCTCGTGCCTGACTCATGCTGCACGCATGTACACAATCCACCGCTCCTGCGGCAAACAGCTGATTGTCAGGCTCTTGCAGGCGCTGTGTGCATGTGCGCAATGTGCACACGATCAGCGAACCGGTAGCGATGGTAAGTGCAATCCACCACTGATACAGACAGAATTTGCTGAGAAACCCAAGAAAAAAATAGAGAATAAAAGGAATGGTCCATCCTTTGCACATCTCAGCAACCTTAGACAAGTACACGCTACAGGTAGTTCTCAACTTACAAAATTTGTTTAGTGATCATTCAAAGTTACAACAGTACTGAAAAATGAAAAACCTATGACCGTTTTTCATACTTAAATCATTGCAGCATTCCCATGATCACATGATCAGAATTCAGATGCTCGGCAACTGGCATGTACTTATGACGGTTGCAGTGTTTCAGGGTGACGTGATCCCCCTTTGTGACCTTCTGACAAGCAAAATCAATGGGGAAGCCAGGTTCACTTAACAACCAAGTTACTAATGTAGCAACTGAAATGATTCACTTAACAATTGTGATAAGAAAGTTGTAAAATGGGGCAAAACTCAGTTAACCAATGTCTCACTTAACAACAGAAATGTTGGGCTCAATTGTGGTCATAACTCAAGGACTACCTATATTTCTAAACATGGCTTCATTTTATTTCTTATGGCTGGCAAAAGCTATAGATTTGCTTTAATCTCTAGAATTTTCTTGATTTTTGCAAGATTTTCATTTTTGGTTAAAGGTATAATTTTAGAGAGGAAAATAGGCAATAAAATATAAGCTCCAGAAACTTGTCAGTGGCGGTGGAGATTTAAACAAACATGTTTTTATGTAAATTAAAAATGTCGCCTCAGCTGTTTAGTACTTCAGCATGATATATAATTATAAAAGAGTTACCATCTGTGAAATAGTATCCAGCAACACATAATAATGTTTTATTTTCATCTGTCTGAATTGCATTTTGCCTGCTCAGCAAATTCATCAATTATCTGGACCTAGTTATTTCCTTTTCCATCGCAATTCTTTCACTTTCGATCTATAACTTTCCTGTTTGAAAAAACCTTGCTGCTCCTTTGAGCTCTCTCTGCATGAAGGGTTTTTTGTAACATTCATTTGAAGTTTCCAAATTGGGATTCGCTATTGCATAATTGAACTGAAGCTGTTTTGGGTTATTATTATTTTTGCAGAAATTTGAAAGCAGGATATTATAATTAGGGCTTCT